CCCTGAAAGGTCATTGAGTCCAGCCCCCTGCCTTCACTAGCAGGACCAAGTACTGATTTTGCCCCCAGATTCCTAAGTGGCCCCTCAAGGATTGAACTCACAACCCTGGGTTTAGGAGGCCAATGCTCAAACCACTGAGCTATCCTTTCTCCTTTAAAGCCTTATGTAGGTCATAGATACCTGAAGACCACTACCCTCTACTGCCACACCAGTTGGGACTAGCTAATAAGCTCTCAGTAACAGTACTAGATTTGAACCTCTGGGGGCAAATGACCTTTGGATTCAGAATGTGGTTTTTTCACTGGTCCAAAACAGAAATATGTTAGCTTTCAGAACATGGTGAAATTTCTACCTGTTTATTTAGTGTTTTTACAGAGGTAAGTTAGATCTGACAGGTGTTTTGTTCTTATGATTGTTCAGAGAGCAGGCTGGGGATGTTACCTGCGCATTTGTTTTGAAGTGTAACTGCGCCAATTTGTTGATTTAAGGATTAACGTTGCTCCAACCAGTTGTTGACAGCACAATGGTAAATTAATGTGTTTGATTAAAGGTGCACTGTCAACCTGAAAGTCACTTTTCTACATGAAAGCTTTGTACCTACTAGTTACAAGTAATCTTCAAGACTGCTGTATCGGAAAGAAGTTAGAAAAAAGGATTTTTTCCCCCCAATTTGTTTACACTGTGTGTTGTCAGCTTTACGGTCTTATTGATGACCAGTTTCACTTCCTGCCTCATGCAGTAGTATGACAACTACCGCACTGTTCTGAGGGGAGCGTGTGTACCTGCAGGAGATATTACTAGTAACAGCAGCAGCAAGTCTTCATTGTGCACCCAAAAAAAGACTGAGTATAAGGATGTGTCTGTGCATGATTGGAGTTGCTGCTCTTCTCAACATCAGAAGAGAACAGAAAAACCCTAGTTATTTTTCAAGTAAAATATAATCTACAAATGCTGTTTACGCTGTGCTATCAGAAGCTTGATTTTTTTAATTAGGCTCAGGAATTCAATTAATAGTTTCCAGTTAATAAAAAAATTTAGAGTCTTAAGGTAACAAATACATTTTATAAATTAAATAATAAAAAATAAATAATGGACGCATTAATCTTGCTTAAAACCGTATCAATCTACACAGTTTTCATTGTTATTGTTTTGAGTCTCACCAAAAATATTGTCTGATGTGATTTAGATACTGAAGTTCCTCATGCAATTAAGGTCCTGGTATTGTACTGTTTCACATTCACTTTGAAACTATACTAAATGCTTGGCTTAAGAAGAATCTCCCTCCTCTGCTCATATGCCACATATCTTCCTTCTCCAAAGCTTTTCTTAAAATCCACTTTGCTCAACTTTCCACCACTAAATTGACTGCAACGTTATCTACTACCATTTTTGCACTTCATTGTGTACTGAATCTATCTAATTTAGGTTTCAGTTCTGCTGAGATTTATGCACATGCTCAGGGCTTTACATTTTCAGCCCCTTGAGGCAGGGACCTTGCTAAATTATGTTTTGAAAATGGCATGCAAAATTATGGTGCTTTACAAATTAGTAACATAATACACTCAATGACATTTCTTATTACTTGTGTCATTACACATGTAGTTTGGGCATGACCTGCAATTACTTCTACAGTAAGACAAAACTTCTTGAACAATCACTGCAAGACAATATGTTATTGGGTTTACACAGTATATTAAGAATCTCAGAGTGTAAAACTAAGAACAGGAGGACTTGTGGCACCTTAGAGACTAACAAATTTATTAGTCTCTAAGGTGCCACAAGTCCTCCTGTTCTTCTTTTTGCGGATACAGACTAACACGGCTGCTACTCTGAAACCTTTCAGAGTGTAAAACTGTTTATTCTTTATAAGTAAATAGGAACATCTGCTTTCAATTTACTCCCCAAAAACCTCTCAAACTACCGGTGAGAAGGACCCATGTTTATTCGGTGGTAGTACCACATCTCTTTTGGAAAAGTTATTCAATGTTACAAACAATATGGTAGGGTAGCAGTCTCAAAATATCTTTACCTGAAGTATTGTTTTAATACATAAAACAGTGAGAGTAAATTTAACCAAAGTAATATTGTGCCATCACATCCATTATTTATTTGAGGCTTACTTTTGGATGTTAGGAAATGAAATGTTAACTGCCTGAGTATAGCTGGTCTTGGAACTGCTTGAAATTTATTAACTTCTGTTTCCACTGTGTTTTTTTAGCTCAAGACTTGGTGTGATTCATGACTGCATTTACTACACTAACATGAAACCACTATGACATTCACCCAACCCATGAACAGAATTGAGAAATATAATGAATTCATAGTTTTATATGAACTGCATCTACTGTTCTGATTAACATAGCTTGAGAAACAACAGGGTTTTAAAAAGTGAATTAGGGAGTCAAGATTTCACAGAACCTTGCTTTTTGCAAAGTATAGCAGCAGTAAAATACATTTGTTTTATTACTTCTTCCCCCTTACAGTATAAAAATACCAATTTCAATACTTACATTGATTATCCAAGTAAATTTGATCTTACATCTGTAATCTCTATATCCTAAGACTCCCCCCCTACTGATCCCAACTCCTTTTTTAGGTTCACTTGTCATATCAGATCTTGCAGTCAAGGCCACTGAACCTGTGAAGATTTAGGCCTGGTCTATACACAGTTTTTGTATGGTATAACTATGTCAGTTAGGGGTCCAGTTTTTTTAAACCAATATAGTTATACTGGTACGACCCACTAGCATGGATGCAGTCAGACCTATACAAGTGCTTAATACTGGTATAGATTCTTCCCCTTTCTATATGGTAATAAGTTATACCAGTATAACTGCATCCACACTAGTATTACTGCTTTTATCTACTTCAGTATAGTGAAAGTCAAACTTTTGTGTAGACAAGCTAATACACACGTATTTTTCTTTATACAATGTGAATAATCTAGTCTTATTGACTTTGATGGGACTACTAACAGCACATAAAGTTAAGTACATGTGTATGTTTTTTCAGGATTGGGGGCCTTAGCTGTAAATCTTCAAGGTACAAGATTATCTTTTTTAGGTACATGGAGCTCCTAGCACGCTGTGGGTACTATATATAAGTAGACTCCACATGATTGTAATAGAATTAAGTACGACATTTCACCCAAAAGAAATTGATGCGACACAGAAAAGAGAGAAGTTGAAATAAATCTATACTGAGTGCACAATTGATATTCAGATGTTAGGCACAGCTGTATGATATTTTTCTCCCATACTCAAGCCTCATCCAAAACAAAGAATCATCATAAAATATGCTCCACCAAAAATGGAATGAGATACCTGTACTGGCCTTCCCAAATTAGATTTAAGCACAGTTTTTCACTCGGGAAAAAGGAAAATACACAGCTTTCCATTCACTATTTAGAAAGTTTCATTGCTCATTGTTATGACAATGCATGAAGTGTATGGTGTGCGTTTCTATTTATTAGCATTTATGCTTCTTGAACAATTACAATGCAAATATTAATCACAATAGAGGGGAACATTTGTGGAAACAAGAATTCCCATAATTGCTTTTTAAAAGTACAAGAAATGAACAGCATTTTAAACAATAAAAAGGACAACCCCTTCACAGATTTTTCAACCTTAGTTGCATTTATACATACAGACTAGACAACTGAGCATTCATTCTCTGATTATATTTGCATACTCTTCTGTACAAGATTGTTTTATTCATACCATAAAAAGGAACATTTTATCTGTTCATTGAGGTATATTAATTAAACAAGCCAGATTTTTCCTGAGCAGTATGGCTTTTTTATTACTATCTGTAATCATCCTTAATGATTTTTTCCCAAATACGACCTGGCATACAGAATATAAAGTTAAACCATGTAAAGAGGGCCTCAACTCAGAAAGATGTAAATAAACTAACATCCTGTCAACACAGCCATACACTTGTGAACGTACTTGATAGATTTGGAAGCTATTTAAAATAAAACACAGTACAGTTTATTTTTAGCTAGTGTCCTTGGAACCAAGGGACCACAAACTAATTTACAGAGAAATGAGAAAGAGATTAGCTCAAATATCAACAATGAACAAAAATGAATACATAAAAGAAATTGAAGTTGAAGGCTAATAGCATGGCTGAAGCCTTCCAAGATTAGCTAAGACATTGTTTATACAACCAGACAGCAAAATAAATGTAGGGAAAATTCCCTCTGTACAATGCTTTAATAAAACACAAGTTCTACATTCCAGGCAATAACTTCATAAGCATTCTTTACATAATATTCCTTGATATCCCTTTCCCATCCAATATTTTCATTATTTTATCCAAAAAACCCATGTAAAAGACAAACATTTCTGTCTGAAAAGATTTTGCCTCTGGCTACAAGTAACATCTAAGGTTATTAGAACAGAGCAAAAAGTATCTTTACAGGTACTTTCTTAACACATTTGACAGTGCTGTCAGTTTCACTTGTCAGTGTGAATCTTTCCCACAGCCAGAGAAGAAAGCTTTTTTTTTTTTAAAGCAACGTGTGATTATAAAACCACAATACTCAGCAGCGGGACTCAGCGGACCTGTTGCTACTTTAGTTCAGACACTGTTTCCTTAATCGGTCTATTATATAATTTTAACATTGGCTTTAATCATTTTTTTAAATCTAGCCAATTAAAAAGGGACACCAACGCCTTGAAAAACAAAAGCAAGCCCGACACCGCTGGTGAGCCTGACAACTCATCGGGCTGGCAAGATACTCGTGGCTCCTCCAAGCCAACTCGCCCCCATCCTGCCTCTCGAGGGCGTAAAGTCAGCCAGGGGAAGGCCGGGGGGAGCGGCTCGAGAGCTGGAGTAGGCAAGGCAGCTCATCGACTCCGAAGTGACTTCGGAGCGGGCCGCGCCCCTGCTGCAGAGCCCAGCCCGCGCCCCGGGCTGCCCGCACTGACCCGGCGGCTGGGCGATGAG